TTAAGTGGTCTGTGCAGTGCTGCTGCAAACCCTGGCCTAGAAGTCCTCGAGCGGGTTTCCTGTCAATGAGGTTTAAGAGCATTAGGAGATGTTTGTTTTAAGGAGGCTGCTATCAACGTGCAGAAATTGTAGTTTGAAATCTTAAATTAGGGGTACCTCTTCATGCGAAGTTGTTCTTCAGTGGGACAATATCGTAGCCCAGAAATCTGGGTGCCAGCAGCCGCTGGTGAGTGCCATTGTGTGTAGGGGGCATCACTGCAAAGGCCTCCAGCGTGGCTGTTGGGAAACTTGGCGGTCTGATGTTTTCGAGATGTTTCTGGTCACATGGTGCAAACCTCCGCATGCAGCCCCGGTGCCGTGCCGCGTGCCAGCGTTCCACTTCGAGCGGTATCAGACGCGATTTGTGCAAGGGGTGTTTGAATTTGTTTGTAAATATGGGCTTTACATTGGTGATTGCTGCCTGTCTTCTCAGCACTGTGTCGTCTGGGGTTGCTGTTCCAGAAGAGACTTTAGCAATCCCAGTTTTTCTAACTGGATTACTGACATGGACATGTTTTCAATTCTGTTAAAATGGTTTCCATGGCCATTATATATAGTTGCAGAGGCAGTGTTCCAGCTGCATGAAACCATGGCTATTTGCCACGTACAGCACAACCGCTGTTACGTTGATGACTTGATTTCACAGAACTTACTCTTCCAAAACGTTTGACTTCACTGCTTGCATTCCTGGGTTTGAGTGAATCCAACAGCTTCAGCTTGCGTTGGGCGCTGTATCTGCCTGCGGCGAAGGGAGAGGACCCGGCACAGGCCTTGTGCGTTTGGTCTCCTGTGGGCTGCTGAGTGGCATTTCAGCTGAGCGGAGTCAGGGATTCCCTAATGCGCTGCTGGGTTGCGGGAACCTCGGTGGCAACCTGGCGCCTGGCACTGCGGCTTCCAGGGCAAGCCAGGGGCTGAAGAATTTGTGGTGGGCTCATAAGCTCTTCTCAAAGTACCTTCCCGCAGTAAAATCAGGTGCTAGCTAGGCTCCAGTAATTGAACTGTTTCTCGAGATTTCTAATCTAAATGGACTAGTTTAAGTTGTCTTCGCGTTTAACTTTGCAAAGTGGCTTGTCCTACTCATGTTTTGTTAAATGTTTGACTGTCGTTGTCAGAGGCTGCAGTTGGGTTTGATCTCTGCCCAAAACCACTGCTTAAATGAAGGGCCTTGAATTACTGAAATTGCAGGAGGAAAGCATTTTGTATTCTGTGCAGGCACGTGTTCAGCTGAACTTGCGTCGGATCTTTGGAGGGAATCATCTTGACACAAAGAAGGCAACCCTCTCAAGCGTGCGTGATTCATTGCTGGCAGCAATAGCCATGGTACGTTTGGGGGGACCTGGGGGTTTTTTAGGTGCTAGAATTAACAAGAAGGCTCCTGTCATACCGGCTATCTTCATCTGTGTTCCCTCTTCAGCTCCTCTGATCTTTGGCAAAGATTTTTATTTTTTTTTTTACTTCCGAAGGGCTTGCCTGTGTTCGTTACCTCATCCTGATGAACTCGTTTTTCTGAACTATAAGGAGTATTTGATATGGGGTAACAGCTCTCAAATCCAACTGCCTGGTTGGTTACAGCTGAGCTTGGTATCTTGGTGTGGGAAGTAGATGGTGATGGATGTCAGGTCTTAGGGGGCATTGGCCTCTCAGAGTGGGTTTACTCCGTATTTTAAACCCCTCCATCGCAGATTGTTTTGTGGGCTCTGCACAGCTACCCTCCCTGACCTGGCTCTGACGTGGGACTCTTGGCAAACTCACAATCACCTCATAAGCTTTCTGAAGGCACACAACAGTCCTGCTGTTTCAAGTCTGCTTAGAAACTAGAAGTTCCTCTGGAAAGGTAAACAGATCCAGAGGTGAAGACACGCAGGTTTTAACCCTTCGTCTGTCGTTCTTCCATGCTGCAGCAGCTGCCCAGACTTGCAGGCTGCTTGGTGGTCTCACTCAAAATCCCCCTCGGAACAAGAGAGCTCTCTCGCAGCCAGCTGAACAGTGGTGTGTTCCTGTGAGGAGCTGCTGCTTTGGACAACTTGATGGTGCCACGCTGAAGGAGGAGCTCCTGAGAGACTGGTGAGTTCTGGCTGGCCTGCGAGTGCAGGGCTGGCAGACGCCCTGGTCAGGAAGCGTCTGTTCACTCCATGTCCTCGAGCATGAGTTGTGTGGGGATGGAGAAGGAGGTAGCTGTGATTGTTCCTCCATGTTGGGCATTATTTGGTGTTTTGAATCAACTCGAGGCAACTGTCTCGGACCCAGCTTTAGGCAGTATAGCTGCCAGCTTCTCCTCTGAAGCCCTGGTGAGCTAGCTTTGCTGGTGCTTGGGGAGGAGTTGTGATCTGTGAGGTGGCAGCAACTTGGAGGCACTCGAGTCCTATGGATTGTCCTGCAAGCAAGAAGAACGCGGGCTCCTCGAGCACTTCAGGCCAGTGTTTTTTCTCACCACAACCCCCCATAGCAAAGCTGCCTGCTCGTGGCATTTTATCCTTGGAGGTGCAGAACTCCACATTGCGTGTGCGCAGACCTGCAGCCAGTTTAGAAGGCCACAGTCTGTTCATAAGTTGGTGTTAGCTGCAGGCTGAGCTGCTAAGGCTTACTGCAGGCCTGGACATTCGAGTCCGCAAGTGAAGGAGAGGACCGTGGAGGATTTGCTGTGCCCATGCTCATTGCCCAAGCAGGGGAGCTGTTCCTGATGGGGTGTCCTGCACAGCTCCGCTGAGATCTGGTCATCTTGCAGGAGTCGGGGCTGCTGCAAGGCCAGCGTGTCGGCTCTTGAGAAGGAAGTGGGGAGAGAGGAGACTTGTGTGAGGATGATGAGACTCTTCCCTCGAGTTTTCATCGTGGAGGGGGGTTCTTCCTGACTGACACCAGGGTAAATGCAGTTGGCACCAGCCGGAGGTGAGCATTCCTCTTCCGAACCACGGTCAGGAGTGGCGATGGGGTTCTCGGCGTCTGAAATCTCCACGTCCTTTCCGATTTGCCTAATGCCCTGTTGTGAAACCAAGATGGAGCCAGGAGGAACGAGAAGCAAACCAGAAATCCTGCTTCCGACCAGAGCACGGGCTCAGCGCTGCCTTCCCTGTCCCCTCCTGCTTGCACGCCCGGGCAGCAGCGCGCTCCTTGCTTTCCTCGCTCCGTTGGGTTTTGTATCCTGGTAACATCGCTCGAGTTAAGGCGCAGAAAACTCCCCGCGGTGCTCTGAGCTGCTGTGAGGGCTGTGGCTCTGGGAAGCATGAACAAAACTCACCCGCAGGTACAGTCCTTCGCTTCGGAGAAATCTTCCGTGCCGCTGTTTCCTAAAGCACCCGTGCTCTTGAGAGTGGTGTTTGTCTGACCTCTTTGTCGCTGGTTCCTGTCAGATTTCGAGTTGTTTCTGCTTAACCTAATTTGATTCAAAAGGAAAGTATTGATACAAAGCGCTGCCTTAGTGTTTGTTTTGCAAATGGGTAATGAAGATTTAAAAGGTGTGCTGATTGATGGCTTCACAAATTGAAGCTGGGCTGCATTTCCACCGAGGCAATTTTTACTTGTATGTAAAAAGAGAGGAAGGTACCGTATGCTCCTGGTTAGCATGGTACGAGAACTAGAAAGGCATAGCTTGCGTGGTTACTGCGTGCTGCTTCTGGAAACAGTCTTTTATTTCTTTCCTTCCAGAGAAATGGTGATGTGCCTGCTTTTGATTCAGCAAAGTCCTTCTCTGAGGAAAGAGGTAATGAATAAAATGCAGAGCTTAACATTTTTATTATTAAGGTATAAATCAATTGAAACCATCTATGTAATGTAAAATACAACCAGTATTTATGGTCTGTTGAGTCTGATTTATTTTTTGTCCCCCCCCTTCTGTGTAGTGAAACGTCCAGACTATGAAATTAATAAGCATTGTTGGCCTGGAGTTGGCAGTCTAATAGCACAGTAGCATGATCGGTAATCACAGAATGGTCGGGGTTGGAAGGGCCCTCTGTGGGTCATTTAGTCCACCCCCCCTGCCAAAGCAGGGTCACCCAGAGCAGGCTGCACAGGACCTTGTCCAGGCGGGTCTTGAATATCTCCAGAGAAGGAGACTCCACAACCTCCCTGGGCAGCCTGGGCCAGGGCTCCGTCACCCTCAGAGGGAAGAAGTTCTTCCTCATGTTCAGACGGAACTTCCTATGCCTCAGTTTGTTCCCGTTGCCCCGTCAGAAAGGCGCATGATGAGCTGGCTATAGGCTTTCTATATGTTTTAATAGCCAAACTTCAGCAAATTTTGCCCCTATTAAGAAGAAGGTGGGAGCCAACAGAATCAATAGCCAACCTGTAGGTCAGGTTGCCACACCGTTTCATCGCTGCCATTGTTTTATACTCGTGTCTGTTTGCAGCAGTTGGGCTTCCTGGTCAAAGGTGTTGTCCTGTAGACACAAACCCGCTGTAATTCCCCGCTGCTCTTTCAAGCTGCCATGTCCCGCGTTTGGTTCCCGCTCAGGCGTGACGGAGGGGGTGGTTGCTGCCGCCAGGATCCCTTTGCTGTTGAGCGAAGGCCGTGCCTTCACTTGTGTTTGTACAGTACAGCAGCTAAGTAAATAGGAAGCGCAGCGAAGACAAATTCCAACTTCTCGACCAAAGTTCTTTAAGTTCAGAAATACCAAAATGCAATTACACGTGCAGGGTTGTCTCAAGTGACCGGTTACATCTTTCTCGGATGATCACGTTAATTTTTTTTCTGTTGCTGTGGGGATACAAAGGGATGCAAGAACATCCAACGCTGGTTTAGAGACAAAGCACTGGTGCTGCAGAGCGCCGAGACGGGGGCAGCTGGTCGGCGTTGCCCTTGCGTGCGCTGCTCTCGTGTTGCCATGACTGAGTTTGGCCTTTAGCTTCCGCATTTGGTTTGATTGACGTATGTGGCTTTCTGAAAGTTGGAGTCCCTGGAAGGTCGCTGCCCTTTTTACACTGGAGATGTCTCTGGGGGGGGAACGGGCTGCTCTTTGGCCAGTTCTTACCATTTGGAGCTGATAGTTTAGCGCCGTTCTGTGGGGTTGTCAAAGTCCTGGGTGGGGCAGAAAGCCTGAAGCGCTGTAAGATGGAGTTTTACCTCTGGAGTTTTGCCGTGGGCTCTAGGAGGGCAGCTTTCCCAGCCTTACACCGACCTGCCCTGTGTTTCAGCTGCTCCCTGTGTGAACGGGGCTGGGCGGGGCCTTGGCCTTCTCCACCCTTCTACATCCGTGCGCGTTGGGTGGGCTC